TATATGAGACGTTATCCCAGATATAATGGTACACTAATATGTAGTGTAAGTTTTAATAACATTTTTTCAATGTTGCTAATGGTTTAATGGGGGACTCAAAAAAGATAATAAAATATTTACATTATTTTTTTTTAATTAAAGAGAACATTTTAATAAACTATTCTTATAATTATTGTATTTAAAAAAAGTATAAGTATTTTATAAAACTATTAATTTACATATCTGTATGATTAGTATATATATATATATTAAAATAAGTATATATATATATTAAAATAAGTATATATATATATATATTAAAATAAGTATATATATATATATTAAAATAAGTATATATATATATATTAAAATAAGCATATATATATATATTAAAATAAGTATATATATATTAAAATAAGTATATATATATATATTAAAATAAGTATATATAGAATAATTTCTAGTTTATAAATAATTAATAAAATTTTTTTATAATAATAAAATTAATAAATTAAATAATTTAAATATTTGTTTTAAAAAACAATATATAGGGTGATTCTGGTGGTCCATTGTATCAGTATCTTAACGGTAGGGCAGTGCTTATTGGTATAACACAAGGCAGTCAAAGATCTGCTGATAAAAAATGTTTGGATCCAAACGATTACAATAATATTATATCTTTTGTACGCATTTTACCGCATTTGGTTTGGATTACAAATATTGTATCTAATAATTTAGATAATTATGAGTTTTTTTTTGGTTAATTAGAAATAGAAAACAAAATATTATTAAAACTTTAAATAGACAATATTTTTTTTTAAATTTATTATTATTTTGTTTACTGTATATCAATAAATTTAATAATATTTAGGATCTAATAACTAAATTATAATAACAAAAAAAACAATTTGTTTGCAATTTTGTTAATATTTATGATGTTAAAAACAATAACTGCTTAAAAATAAATTTTTACTGAACAAACAATATAAACAAACAAATAAAAATATAATATAATGAAATATAAATAGTTAATAAATATTAATTAATTAATTAATAGTTAAATCTCTGCTATCAATGGGATTATTAATATATATAAGTGTTGTCAATATCTACGATAATTCTTGTGAATTATTTACCAAATTTTTCTATTATTGTTTAAAAAACCAACGACTAGTTCCGGCAAATGTTGGTCTCAATTGCCGATTATCAGACCAATAGCTCAACAATACATTTGTATATAAACTATTTGCGGACAATTTTCAGTGGTTTTCGGCAAACGGTAGCCATGTTTTTATATAGTTTGCAACTTTCTATTAATAGTTCACAACTTTTTTTTTGGGTTTAGTGGATACAATTGGTGTGCATTTCGGTACCACCGATAATGACCAGTCAGTCATCAGATATCATGCAATTAATTTGTGTGTATTTCCAATCAATTTCATAGTCTTTATTATACTTGTATTTAATGTAATAATTGTCGAATTAATGTTAGAATAATTAGATAGACTAACGGTTCCATCAATTGGTAGATCAGTTGTATCACATGTTCGGCCATTTTTGTTGATTAGCTTTAATTACCTGTATTTTGCAAAAAACTTTTATTTAATTTTTTTTGCAAACAAAATGTTTTTAATAATTGTCTCTAATTTCTGTATATTAATTAGAAATTAATTTTGTTATTGATATTTATAATTGAATGCAATAATAATTATTTAATATTTTAATTTTTAAAACCAAATTGTTTTATTGATAATTTGATACAGAGTTTCAATAGTTTGTATTAAATAACATTTGTTTGTCTTTTAACACATTTATATTTTACTGAAATAATAGTAAAATAATTATTATTAATAGATTTATATACTGTATTCAAAATTAATATTAAGTATTAGAAAATATTTATTGCATTTATTTTACATTTAATAATAAATAATTTAATATCTTTTTATATATAATTTTACTGAATATTTGATATTTTACAATATCTATAATAATTAACAATTTTATGTAAATATGATAAACTAAAAAAATTGTATAATGAAACAATATACTATATATTACAAAAATTTTGTTGTAATTTAATTATCTGATTAAATGTATAATATTATTTTATTTTATAAAACTTAAAATAACTAAAAACATATTTTAATTTTATTGTAAAATAATGTTAATTTATAAGATTATAAATATAATTAAAATTATTTCTATTTTTTTATAATTATATAAATATAGGTATACTATATTTGTTTATTATAATGTCATGTTTAACAAATTCAGTCAATTATATCAAACAATTAGTGATTATATGGTATATATTATGTGCTATCATATCATCAATGGATAGTATAATATCACCGGAAGGGTGTGGTGTGGGCCGCGAGTCAGTGCTGATGAACGGCCAGTGTTTCCGCTGGTATGCAAACTATACACAACAACAGGACATACAGTTTGGACGATCGGCCAAACCGGGAGAAGTGCCGTTTGTGGCATATATTTACATTATAGAAAAAATTTGGATATTTGATAATGATTACAGGTTAGTCTATAAATTTTTATATTGTCTAATACTATATTCAGTATATATATATATACATGATATCATAAATATCAAAATCTATACTAAAATATATAATATATTTAGAAAATAAAAATCATATCAAACGTTGTATTAACAAACTATGCAATTACGGGTTTTTTTACAATTCATGAAGATTTCTATGTTTTAAAATATTATATATATATATATATATATATATAAAGAGGTCTTTCATTAATCTATAAAATGCGGTTTTTTATTAAAATTCAAAATTAAACAAAGTGAGTTTTGAGATATATTAATTTTTATAAAAGGAGTATTAATTTTTTAATTATTATAATTTATAAATTTATATATAATTATGAATTATTTATTTTTTTTAGTCAATGTTCGGGTTCAATATTAAATGATCGATGGATTATAACAGCAGCACATTGTATATATGAGTATGTAATTTGATAATAAAAAAAAATCATAACACAATTATATAATTTAACAATACTTAATAAATGTAATATTACATTACATTTTAAGGAATGGCCACTACATTGATAAGTCATTTATTACTGTATATCCCGGCACACAATCACTCAAACACTTACCACTCGGTTATAGTGTGGACCAGTTGTACGCCTATCCAGACTATATGAGTGGTAAAGAACTTAAATCTGATATCGGATTAATAAAATTGAAACAATGGATACCACTTCCGACTAAACCAAATACAATCATATTTATGAATGCCATTTGTTTGCCAACTAATAATAGTATTAAAAGTAGTAATAGTATATACAAACCGTCTGAAAAGCTTAATCAGTTGGCACTGGTAGCTGGTTTCGGTGCTTATGATAATGACGGGCATACTGTTGATCTGTTACATATGGGTTGGGTATATATAATATACAATAATGATGAATTATGGTATTATATGACACGTTATCCCAGAAATAATGGTACAATAATATGTAGTGTAAGTATAATAATTAGTTATTTATCAGTTTTGCTAATGGTTTACGATTTCATGGGCGGGGGGGGGGTGGAGGGGAGGATATGTGTGGTCCAAAATGTAAAAATCTCGAAAAAAAACTTGAATGTATAGTTTTGGTGAACTATTATTATTGTATTTTTTAGCAAAAATTTTTACCAAATTTTATTCTAATCATTAGTAATTTACTATAAATACACTATGAATTCTCTATAAATTTTCTATAAATTTTCTATAAATTCTCTATAAATTCCCTATAAATTCTCTATAAATTCCCTATAAATTCCCTATAAATTCTCTATAAATTCTCTATAAATTCTCTATAAATACCCTATAAATTCTCTATAAATTCCCTATAAATTCTCTATAAATTCCCTATAAATTCTCTATAAATTCTTTATAAATTCTCTATAAATTCCCTATAAATTCTCTATAAATTCCCTATAAATTCTCTATAAATTCCCTATAAATTCTCTATAAATTCCCTATAAATTCTCTATAAATTCCCTATAAATTCTCTATAAATTCCATATAAATTCTCTATAAATTCCATATAAATTCTCTATAAATTCCATATAAATTCTCTATAAATTCCATATAAATTCTCTATAAATTCCATATAAATTCTCTATAAATTCCATATAAATTCTCTATATATATTCCCTATAAATTCCATTTAACTCCCTATAAATTCCTTATAAATTTTCAAAAACTTCATGAACTTAAATATCCTATTAATTAATTAAAAAAATCTTTACTTGATTGCTCAATACTTCAAAATGAATTTGTCAAGCTATTAAAATTTCTATTATAAATAATAGTTTAGAAAAATGAAGTTTTTTGTAAAAATATATAATCTCTCTCTCTCTCTCTCTCTCTCTCTCTCTCTCTCTCTCTCTCTCTCTCTCTCTCTCTCTCTCTCTCTCTCTCTCTCTCTCTCTCTCTCTGTATATACTGTATATATATTATATAATATATAATTGTTTCAAAAATTTGTTAAAAACAATTTATAGGGTGATTCTGGTGGTCCACTGTATCAGTATATTAACGGTAGGGCAGTGCTCATTGGTATCACTCAGGGCACTCAAAGATCTGATGATAAAAAATGTTTGGATCCAAAAGATAACTATAATACTATAACTTTTGTACGCATTTTACCGCATTTGGATTGGATTACAAACATTGTATCTAATAATTAGCTAATTATGATTTTTTTGTTGTAAATTTTTTGGTTAATTAGAAATAGAAAACAAAACTTTATTAAAACTTTAAATAGACAATAATTATTTTAAAATTCAATTTATTATTATATTAAATAATTATTATGCTAACAATTAAATTATAATTTGTATGTAATTTTGATTTTTTTACTTATAGTTTTTTTTTGATATTATATTAATAAATTTATTTTTTTTCATTTATATTTAGTCTAATAATTAAATTATAATTATAAAAAACAATTTATTTACAATTTTGATTATATTTATGAAGCTATATTAATTAATTAATAGTTAAATCGCTGCTATCAATGGGATAATTAATATAAGTGTTGTCGATATTTACTGATTCTTGTGAATTATTTACCAATATTTCTATTATTCTTTCAAAACTAACGACTAGTTCAACAAATGTTGGTCTCAGTAGCGGATCATCAGACCAACAGCGCATCAATACATTTGTATAAACTATTTGCGGACAATTCGGTGGTTTCGGCAAACGGTAGCCATGTTTTAAATAGTTTGCGATTTCCCAATTGGAAACATTAGGATATGGTGTCAGTCCTCGGGTTAACAGTTCCCATACGAGTACACCATAAGACCAGACATCAGTTTTGCTATCGTATATACCTTTTTCAAGACTCTCGGGTGACATCCATTTGACCGGAAGTTTACATTTTTGATTATTACTTCTGTAATAATCTTTATTAAACAAATCTCTTGATAAACCGAAATCTGCTATTTTAATCAATTGTTTATCATCAACAACACAGTTACGTGCGGCTAAATCCCGGTGCACGAAATGATGTTCCGATAGATAAGCCATTCCTATTGTATATAACATACAATATAAACAATTTTAAATTAGTTTATTATATTTTTTTTAAAAAAAAGTATTTACCTTTTGCTGCGTCGATGGCAAACATCAGTAACAGTCTTACTGTTGGAGAAATGCTATCATTTCTAATATATGTTAACAGATCTCCATTTGCCATAAATGGTAATATAATAATTGGTTCACCGTTTGGTTCAAATGAGACACCAATAAGTGTTAAGACATTCAAATGATTGAAGTCTTTCATTATAAGGCCTTCTTTGAGAAAGGTTTCGATAGCATTAACATCGCTTATCTTAGCTATAAAATTGCAAAAATTAAAAGTTATATATATACAGTATATATATATATATATATATATATATATATATATATATATATATATACTGTATATATAGTTAAATAAATTTCTAAATTTTCCAAATAAATTATTAATAACATTTTATTTAGATTAAAAAAAAAGTTTTGTATTAATAATATGTTATTGAATATTTAATCTATTGGTAGTTAAAAAAAATAACAATTACTTATTAATTGATTATCAAATATTTTTCTAAACATAAATTATTTTATTTAATATTAATATTATTAAACATTAATCAATGCAAATCTGATTACATAATCTTATGGTTACTTATTTGATGGTATCTAATGAAACAATTTTTTTTATTTAAGATTACAATTATTACACAAAAAAAATATTTTTATTATTATTATTCTATAAATTATTTTATAATAAAATCTATTTAATTATACATTTAGTTTGAATATTGAATTACAGTTAATGTTTTTTTTTGTACAGTTTAACATATTTACATAAAACTATTATTCATTAATATATCATATAGTATATATTGTTTATATAATAAATAATTAATAATCTCAACTAATATAGATTTATAATAATTTAATTGTTTTTAATGTAGTTTTTTTATTGCTGAACAGTACTGCTATTATTATTATTTTTAAAATAGTTAAAATAATTACCAATTAATTAAGTAACATTTTTTTAGGTAAAAAAATAATTTCGTAATAAATATTTTTTAAATTTATTGATTAACAGTGAAAATTAGTGATTTTATAGATTTAATTATATTTTGTAATATGTATTGAAGTTTTATTTGATTAATAATTAATTTATTATTTTTTTTACATTAAAAACAATTAATATTTAATAAATTTTATTTTAGTATAAATATATTAATTGTATACAAAATATTTTACTGATTCACAGTTTTAAATAAATATAATATATATAATTTATATATATTACTAATTAAATAACTTTTGCATTAATACAACTATAATATATATATATATATTGTGTTTTAATATATTATATTTATTTTTATATATATTTATATAAATATACAAATTTTTAAAAACATATTTTGATGTCTCTAATAATTATCATTAAAACAAGAAAAATATTAATAATTTTATAGATTTTATTGTAATTGAATAATCATAAATGTATTATATATTTTTAGGTAATGTAGAAATATTTTTAGAAAAAATACTACTCTAAAAACAATTAGTGTTTAATAATATATAACTTTTTTAGTAGTATTTTAATTAAATATAAATATTTATTATACAGTATTACTATGATTTAAAATATTTACAAAACTTATTTTTGTTTATACTGTTGTATGTATCCTATTTTGTATAGTAGTGTAAAACTGTATATGTATTATGTTTCATTAATAATAGTATTACAATAGCTATAGAAATGGGGATCCAATAGTTTAACAAATAAAATTAAATTTCTTTAGAAAATTTCCTGAAAATTTTTCTATTAACTTTATTATTGAAATTTATTATTGAAACTTTCTATTTGCTCATCTCTTACTGTAATTCAATAATCAGAAAAATATGTATAAAATTATTTTTTATCAATGACTTTATATTGTTTAATAAATGCTAATTCAAACATTTTATAATTAAAGTGTGAAATGATTTATATATATATAAACATTATGTAATTTGAAAGATCTCAATATATATTTATAATATTTAATTTAATTTGTTTAGACTATGTTGGATATAAAGTATATCACATTATGATTACTTTGAGTTTAAATTAATTATTTATTATATATAAATAAAATATGTCAAAATTTAGTTTTATTATTATTAAATTTTCAAATTATATTAAAGTATTATAAAAATATTTTACATTTAGTAATAAATAATTTAATATCTTTATATACATATGCATATACTTTATATTTGATATTTTAACAATATCTATAATAATTAACCATTTTATGTAAATATGATAAACTAAAAATATTTGTATTAATGAAACAATATACTGTATATTACAAAAAAGTTAATTGTAATTTAATAACTAGATTAAATGTATATTGTTATTATTTTATTTAATATAACTTAAAAATAACTAAAAATTGTAAAAATAGTAATAATTAACGAGATTATAGATATAATTATAAATATATATTGATAACCAGTATATACTGTCTGTGTTTATTATAATGAATTGTTTAACAAATACAGTCAATTGTATAAAACAATTATTGATTATATGGTATACATTATATGCTATCATATCATCAATGGATAGTATAATATCACCGGAAGGGTGTGGTGTGGGCCGCGAGTCAGTGCTGATGAACGGCCAGTGTTTCCGCTGGTATGCAAACTATACACAACAACAGGACATACAGTTTGGACGATCGGCCAAACCGGGAGAAGTGCCGTTTGTGGCATATATTTTCAAATATATAAAATTATGGATAATTCCTTACGGGAGAAGGTATATCAAAATATTAATAGTATTAATAGTATTTAATAAATACTATATATTAAATGACAATTTATTTTATTTAATAAAAATACTATTAAAAAAATACATTATTATAGTATGTGTTCGGGTTCAATATTAAATGATCGATGGATTATAACAGCAGCACATTGTATATATAAGTAAGTAATTTATAAAAACAAAAAATTACATAAAAATTAAAATCAATACTAAAATTTCATTATTGTTAAACAATTTTTGATATTGTTAAATCATAAAATAATATAGATATAGATAAATCACTTAATAGTGAATAATTGTTAAAAAAATAATAATCTAAAAAAAACAAAAAATAAGTTGATAGCAATTACAACACTTAATATTATATTCTTGTGATTGAAATCTAGTAATTAATTAACACAAAAAAACAATATCTTTTATAAGATTTTTATCTAATTTGACACTATTTTATATATAACTTAATTATATTTACTTAATTAAATAAATTAAATTATATTGTATTATAATTTAAGAAATGGTTATTACGACAAATCGGCATTTACTGTATATCCCGGCACTCAATCACTCAAACACTTACCACTCGGTTATAGTGTGGACCAGTTGTACGCACATCCAGACTATATCAGTGGTGAGGAAACTAAATCTGATATCGGATTAATAAAATTGAAACAATGGATACCACTTCCGACTAAACCAAATACAATCAATCTTATGAATGCAATTTGTTTGCCCACTAATAATAGTATTAAAAGTAGTAGTAGTGGTAGATATACACCGTCTAGTGATAGATATAAACCGTCTGAAAACCTTAATCAGTTGGCACTGGTAGCTGGTTTCGGTGATTATGATAATGACGGACCTACTGTTGATCTGTTACATATGGGTTGGGTATATCTAGTATACAATAATGATGAATTAAACTATTATATAAGACGTTATCCCAAATATAATGGTACATCAATATGTAGTGTAAGTTTAATACATTAATTAGTTATTTGTATATATATAAAGTATATATATATATATATATATATATATATCATATTGATATTGATACATATTGATACATTCCTTATGTGAATAAATACACGATTTTACGGTAATGTAATTATAAAACTCATTTATTTTAAATGACCTATTATTGTACCGCTACAATATTATGCTATTATATATATATAATATTTATTATTATTATCACTTATAATTTAGTATTATATGAATACATTTACATTTATAGGGTGATTCTGGTGGTCCATTGTATCAGTATATTAACGGTAGGGCAGTGCTCATTGGTATAGCTCAAGGCACTCATAAAACTCATACCTCGTGTTTGAATACAAATGATTACAATAAACTAATATTATTTGTACGCATTTTACCGCATTTGGATTGGATTACAAACATTGTATCTAATAATTAGCTAATTATATGTTTTTATTTTGTTTTTAATTAGAAATAGAAGTTTTAATAATATTTTTTTATATAATAATAAAAAAAACAAAATATTATTAAAACTTTAAACTAAAAATTATTATTTTTAAATTCAATTTTACTATTCTATTATTTAATTATTATGCTAACAATTAAATTATAATTACAAAATAATAATAATAATAATTTGTTTGCAATTTTGATTATATTTATAAAGTTATTTAGAAAACATTAATTATTTAATTTTTACTTGTTTTACAAATACTTTAAACAAACAATCAATATTATAGAATATAATTAAATATAAATATTAATTAATTAACAGTTAAATCGCTGCTATCAATGGGATAATTAATATAAGTGTTGTCGATATTTACTGATTCTTGTGAATTATTTACCAATATTTCTATTATTCTTTCAAAACTAACGACTAGTTCAGCAAATGTTGGTCTCAGTAGCGGATCATCAGACCAACAGCGCATCAATACATTTGTATAAACTATTTGCGGACAATTCGGTGGTTTCGGCAAACGGTAGCCATGTTTTAAATAGTTTGTAATTTCCCAATTGGAAACATTAGGATATGGTGTCAGTCCTCGGGTTAACAGTTCCCATACGAGTACACCATAAGACCAGTGTTGTATTAATCTGACTACTTTGAGCCTATTGATTGATATTATAATAAAAAATTATATTTGAGTATATTCTGAGACAATAATATTCAACTCGATTTCAAATATAACATTCTTATAAGATTTTTAAATATAAATATGATACAATTTTTAGTTATTTTTAGTTATAAACATGAATTCTAACGGAAATGATATTTGTAATTGTTTGGAAAATTATAATTGTAGATTAAAATCTTATAAAGATTTTAAATGGACTGAAAGTATAACATTAAATAACTACCATCGATTTGCAGAAGCCGGATTTTACTCAATTGGGTTAGAAGATTATTTGAAATGTTTTAAATGCAAAGGAGGACTTTGTTTATGGTTACCAGGTGATGACCCATGGATAGAACA